GGGGGGGGGGGGGGGGGGGGGCGCAAGGTGGAAGTTTCGCCTAGGGCGCGAAACATCCTTGCACCCGCCCTGGACGTGATCCAAAGGTAGCTGAAGTCAATGGCAGACTTTCCATTGGGATCACATCCCAAGACTGCTGTTGGAACTTTAACAGAGTATTTCTGGACTTTCTGATGTTCAGGTTTTGTTTTTAAACTACAGTGTTCTGCTATCCTGATTTTCAAACATTTGTTTGTAAACCTGATCTCTGAACTTCAAGACTTTCAAATTTCTGTGGATAACGACAATGTACACATGGTGTACATGGAATTCTCCACTTACACTAGTGGTAGAATTTTATACTCATGTTGAACAAATGTATTGATCACACAGGACCAGCATATTTAAATTTTAAAACTATAAGCCAGATTCACTAGTTGACTCTGGTTGCTGTATGCCTCTTCGTGCCACAAAACAGCCATAAACCTGACTTAATGACCACTGCTTTGTGTCACTAAAATGACACAAAACAGCTGGAGTGTAATTGGAGGATATGACCCAGAACATTTGATCACATCCTTTTGTCATGATCTAAGATCAGGAATCTGTCGTCCCCGCAATGGCTATACCACCCAAAAGAAAGCCAGTAACTGTCTCCTGCATTTCTTTCAGAGTTGTTGGTATCAGCTCTGCAGAAGAAACATGGAATCCTGAATTCAGATCTCAATGAGAGGAATATATTTACAAATATTTTGTTTTAAAGTGAAAATGCAGAGTAGGACCAAATTTTGAACTATTTTGTTTTTAGATTAATTTGTGTTTGGGAAGCCCCTCCACACACATAGCAATATCTTAAACTGCACAGCTGACCAGTTATAAATCATGTCTGGACATGAAAGGAGGGAAAAAACCCTATTCTGAAGGAATCTTTTTGGGGTTTCTCAGTAATGAAAATATTGCAGAAAAAACAGGAATAAAAATACAAAATCAGCAAAAAGATGTATAGTCCTCTTGTTCACCCTGACAAGGTAATCTCCAATTTAGTTATTACAGAGCAAATGTCCTGAGAAATTATTTGCTTTAAAATTCCTGAATCTGGAATTACTCACTCCCCCTTTCAGCACAGGCTAGGTCATCCCTGCCATGTCCCCATACAGGGAAGAAACTGTGGGTGCATTGGTTAGGCTTTAGGGAATTGTAGAAAAGGGGATGAGAGCAGGATTGGCTTTAATCACAGTATTTCCAGATACTTGCAGAATGCTGAGGATCAGTGCATGGGATGTGAGAGATGTTTTTAACTCAGACATTTGGCAGCACTCAGCAACTCAGCTTTGTTTTAGTAATTGAGGGTCTTTGGGAGTATTGTTTGCTGACAATGCGGTATGTTCTATTACTGTATTTCTTTCTGCAGTTCCTCCGAGTGTTGTAGGTACTAATTTTGAGAATTTGACTGTGGTGGTGAATAATTTCATCTCCTTGACCTGTGAGGTCACTGGCTTCCCTCCTCCTGATCTCAGCTGGCTCAAGAATGGAAAACCTATCAGCTTGAATACTAATACTCTCATTGTGCCTGGTGAGGAATCGCTGCTGTTTCTGTAAACTCTGGGGTCTCATCCTTTCCTTTTATGTAGATAAATATGACAGCAAAATGGCGCCAACTTTACTCCGGGTGTAGCTCCATTAAGTGGAGTTATACAAGTAATAAATCTGGCCTCTTATGGTTAAAATATTTTAGAATCTCTTTTGCTTTTGAATGGGGTCACTATTAAAAGAAACAATCAGGTTGGAAGGATTGGAACAAACAACCGTTTGTGTTGGTGTGGATCAGACTGTTGGACAGCTCATATAGCACAGACTGTTTCAAAGGAACGATGATTGATTGAGACAGTCACTTTATCAACTAAGGATCCAATCCAAATCCCATTTGTCTAGACGGCAAAAAAACAACCACCCTATCACTGACTTCAATGGGAATTACCCCTCAACTCAACCCTTAAGAACCTTGCTAATTCCCAGGTGGAATTCATTATTTCCTAAGGGTTTCTAGGACAAAGGTACTGCAGGGACCTTAGACAATAAGGGCTGGGAGCATCTATCAGGGAGTAAGTGGAGTAGGAATTGTTACAGTTCCAGGGTAACTACACCTGTAACTACATCTGTGGTCCACCAAGGGCACCCGCTTTACGCTTCTGGCTCCCACTTGTCAGCTCTCTTGGGAAGAGATCCATGTCTCACTCCCTCCTGACTGGGGAGTTTAAGGCTGCACAGCTCCTTGCCTTATGCTGTGATATCCCCAGCAAGCCAGACTGCTTAAAAGGACAGCACCTCTCTGAGGGCTATGACCAGTGTATTGCCTTCAGCTATAAGTTACCAAACAACTTCTTTAAGCAAGCACGCTTTTTCTTAAATTAAAAGTATTACAGAGAAAAATATTAAAACAATAAAATACTCTGCATGCATGCTAAAAAGCTTATGGGAGGTTACCCTCAACTCCAGCTTAGGGCTCTGGTGGTTACAAGTTCATCTGTCTTTGATCTGGAACCCAAACCAAGGTTGGGCAGGTCAGCTATCTCTTTATACAACTTGGACCTTTGATCTTGATCTTCTGTAACTGGTAACCAGCAGACAATGACCCTTTCCTCAGAGGTAGCTTCAAAAGATTGTGTTTTTGCATAACTGGAGTTGGAGTTTTCCCTAGCCAAAAGTCCATACATGTCTGGCATATTTTCAGTATAGTCTCCTGAACTCCCAGGTCTCACATCTGTCACATTTTCCCCCTCGAGAGCTTACATGCAATCCTGGCCCACAATAATACATAACCTTAATATAGTAAGGGTTTTCAAGGATATTACAGGAAGTTGCCCTATTTGTCACAGGAATCATGTCAGGAAACCACCCTGATCTACACCCAACCCTCCACTTCTGATGCTGAAAACTAGAGATCCTAATGCAACCCAATTCCTGCTATGGGTTCCGATTTGACATGCTGGAGATGGATTGGCTGGGGTGGACGTTTGTAGGTGTATGGGAAATAACTGACATGGAACTTACTTACTGGCAGCTGGGATGCAGGCCTGTGGCCTACAGGCAGATATCTGGACAGAGCTAGTCCACAAATGGGGGAAGTCATGTGAGAGCAGTAAAGTAAGGAGGGGCTTGTCGGGGAGCTAAGTGGAAAGGCCATGATTGTGTTAGGAGGGAGGAAGTAGCTGCGAAGGAAAAGAGGGTGAAGAAAATATTAATGGGTCAAATTCTCTGGTGAAAGCTCCATTGACTTCAGTGGTGTTTCACCCATTTACACCAGCCAAGAATTTCACCCAAAAATTGTAATTCACTAAGGACATTTCTCTAAGGGTTAGGCAGCGCTAGTCAGCAAGAGCAGTGCTGCTCTTTAGAATCATATGCTAATCTAATGCCTAAATTGCAGTTCGTAGAAAATATTATTGCAAAATTTCATTTCAGATTAATACAATAACTACAGAATAAATCTAGAAGTTATTTTAGCTCACCTTCTCTCTTTGGATCACTTTAGGTGGTCGGACTCTGCAAATTCCTCGAGCCAGACTCTCAGATGGTGGTGAATACATTTGTATAGCCAGAAACCAAGCTGGAGAAAGCAAGAAAAAGAGTTTCCTTACTGTTTATGGTTTGTTTTTCACTATCATATTAAATAATATTTATTACTATGAAATGAGGACATCTTCCATATTTCCTTAGGTTGATTTTTTCTCCTCCTCACAGAACAAGGAAGAAAATAATTCTTTTAACTTTTTCTCCAGTCCCCCCGAATATTAAAGACCACAGTGGAGCATCTCTTGCAGTGGTGACTGTGAGAGTGGGAATCCCAGTAACCTTAGAGTGTGAGTCCAATGCAGTCCCACCACCTGTTATCACATGGTACAAGAATGGACGCATGATCACGGAGTCTGCAAACATAGAGATCCTAGCAGATGGACAAATGCTACAAATCAAGAGTGCTGAGGTATACTAAATTAGTCTAATGCACACCTTGTCACTGTTGTTGACCAGTTATTTTTGCTCTTTATATGTCTGACCCAATGACCATTGAAGTCAGTGGGAGTCTTTCTTTTAAATTCAATGGGCTTTGAATCAAGTTCTGATTACAAATGGCAGAGCCTTTTTTAAGTCTAACTATAGCAGAGCCCATGACCACTAGTGGATTCTAGTGTTAAAAGGTCTGTTGTTATCTTCAGGAAAATTGACCCAGTACATAAAAATTCTTTTTCCATTTTAGGTGTCTGACACTGGCCAGTATGTGTGTAAAGCCATAAACATTGCAGGGCGAGATGATAAAAATTTCCATCTTAATGTTTATGGTGAGCATATACCACGTTATCTACAGTAGAATTGAACCAAAGTCAGTTTACTAAGGAATTTGGTAACTAAGGTATTTATGCAGCTGCTGTTCTATTTAATAGTTCCACCAAGTATAGAAGGCCCTGAACAAGACTGGATCAACGAAACGATTAGTAATCCTGTCACCTTTGCATGTGACGCTACTGGAATTCCTCCACCAACACTAATATGGCTAAAGAATGGGAAGCATATAGGTAATGTTTTTCCTTCCTGGTTTCACTCTCCTTTCCCCCCCCCTCCATTTTCTTTCCTATAATAGATCATAGTGTGTCTTTCCTGTGGTGTTTTTAGGGTCTATTCTTTTGTTTCTCCTCCCTCTCTCCCCATATTAACTACTCCTTATATGAACTAGAGCGTGATGAAATCTTTTTAAATTTTTGATACATTTATGAATTTTTTTCACAAAATGTGTTTGCTGTTTCTGACTAGTTCTAATACTAATCAACTCTTTCTTATCTGTGTGTTTTCAGAAAACTCTGACTCACTTGAAATACATATTTTGTCTGGAGGAAGCAAGCTGCAGATTTCCCGCTCTCAGATTTCAGATAGTGGAAACTACACTTGCATAGCCTCAAATGTAGAAGGAAAAGCGCAGAAGAGTTACATCCTTTCCATTCAAGGTACAGTATGTGTGTGCACTAAACAGAATCATACTTACTGGCCACTTACACTGGCATAAAACTGGTGTTAAGTCCACTGAAGACAATGAAGATGATTTAGCTATATAAAACTGGTATAACGGAGCGGAGAATCAGTACCATTATTTCTATCAGGCAACCAATAGCAAAAAATAAGGATAACAAAACCTTGCTACAATGTTATTCAGAAATTGGTATGCAAAAGAATATTCTCTACATCTAATTATTCTGCAGTTTGAAAATAATAGGTTTATTTGCTATATTGCACTGTTTCCATATGATCGTTGCTGATCACAGCAACTGGCTCCATCACACTGGAAACTAACGCTACACGAATCTCAGTGTGAGTAGAACATTGTGGAGCCCGAAAGGGTTTTAGGAGCAATGGTATGCTATGGCTCTTTTGCTAGGTGATGTTTGATGCCAAAAGGAGGTTATAAAGGAAAACTGTGACACATCATCTTTATGAAAAAAAAAATCAGTGGAGTAATGGAATAATGGTTAGGACTGAGTAATGTGTCACTACGTCACCAGGGACGCTAAGCATTTGAACATGTGCTTAACTTTCAGTGTGTGAGTAATCCTGTGGACTTCATTGGAGCTACTTACTTGTTCAGAGTTAAATATGTGCTTAAGTGTTTGCTGCATCAGGGTATCCAATAGATTTTATTTGCATAGCTATAATAGATGCTAAAGGTAGCATTATCTATTATTATCAATCTGCTGAACATGAACAGGTTACTGTACACACTGGAAGGATTATCAAATGGTTAAAGTTGATTTTTCTAGTCACCTTTGTAAACATCCCATCAGGAGGAATATACACATACCCTGTTAATTTGATCTAATGGGAGAAACTCCATTGAAATAATGGAGTTACTCCTGGTTTACCCCCATTTAACTAACTGATTAGAATTTCACCCCCTCTCCCAAAAGTTCCTCCAAATATTGTTGGATCTGAAATGCCAAGTGAAGTCAGTGCCCTCCTTGGGGAAAGTATCCAGCTCGTCTGCAATGCCAAAGGAATTCCCAGACCTGCTATTCAGTGGCTTAAAGATGGAAACCCAGTTACCAGCAATGAATCACAAAGAATAAGGCGAGTAAAAATAAAACCCTGTGTTCTCTCAGTCTGAAACCTCCTCAAGGCATAGGCAGAAGAATTATAAAACTATGAGCCTGAATAACCTAACTTTAGTAAGTGACATTGATCTTTTCTGTCCTTAATTTCTATAATTCTAGGATATTTTGTTAATTATGTAGATTTGTTGCTCATCTGTTTTGTTTTACATAATATATCTAGCTAACCAAATAGTGTTATAGATGTTGTTTACCCTCTCTTCTGCCTACTTCAGAATAAGTAGCTATACACAAGGTAGATCTAGTACATACATGATTTGTGAGACAACGTACCAGACCCTTAGGACAAGCTGTTTGGTGCTGATACAGCTCAGGGTGTAGGGGGGCACAAATGTTGCTTGTAAGCCATCTTTATGTCTTTGCAATTGTGGGGATACCAGGTCCACTCCAGAGGCATAACTTAGAGTACCCCCAATGGCCTATACAACTAGATACACAAATCTGGGAAAGTGACATGATATCTTACTCAAAGTTTTTATTTTTATTTTTACATTTTTTTAAAAAAATTTTTTATTTTGATTTAGTTGGTGTTGGTCCTGCTTTGAGCAGGGGGTTGGACTAGATGACCTCCTGAGATCTCTTCCAACCCTAATCTTCTATGATTCTGTGTTTTAAGTATTTCAGAGATTGGCACATAATATCCCTAAGTTTCTTATTTAAATAGTTGTTACTATCAGATGAGGTTTAAGGGAGCTGTATGTAAAAATACTCTGAGAATGATGGACACATTTTGACTGCAATTGGATGGAACTGGATCTAAATGGAAGCTAAAATAGCTCAGTCCTTAAACCAGAATTTTATGAAATAGATTCATAAAAATAGATTTAAAAACAAATTTCTCTGGGAGCCAAAATTTTGAATAGAGTAATAGATTTATAACTGAATTTCCATAGAAAGTGTGTGGGGAAGTAATTTGATTGAAATGTACATACTAGCTGTTTATTTACTTTTTCTTATGACCTGGCAAACAAACTCATTGTATTCTACGACCTTTTTTATAGAGTGACTCCAGATGGCAGCGCCTTAAACATTTTCAGAGTGCTCACATCTGATGTGGGAAAATACACTTGTGTGGCTACTAATCCTGCAGGAGAAGAAGATCGAATTTTCAACTTGAATGTTTATGGTGAGTTTTTAAAAAATGTGACAGACTGAAGTCTGACCTATTATCCTGACTTTGTTACCACTCACATGATAGGGCCAAGAAGTGACTGCCTAGGTAATCTTATGTATCTATATTCATGTGTAGTTTGTTGATGTAGATATCATATTGTGTTCTATATAACATACTGCAGAGGATCAAAATGATTGAAACCATTGCTGAGTAATAAATTTTGGGATAAACAGAAGTCAATTCCTATGGTATATTCCATAACAAAACAAACCCACCCAAAATGACTTTTTTTTTTTTTTTTTTTTGGTGGAGGAGGACACCATATGGGCCTAATTCAACACTTCATTACTCAAGTTTTACACATCTTAGCTCTGTTGATCTCAGTCAAATTATGCCCTCTTAAAATTAGAGTAATGCAGAAGTGAAGCAGGTTTTAAACTTTGTTTTACTCAGGATTTAAATTAATCCAAACAATAATCTGAAATAATTTTGTACCAGATCCTCCTGATTTAATGTCACAACTGAGGACAGTAAGACTAATCATCCTCTGCCTCGCACAGTGTGTAGCCATTTACACCTGTAAAAATGGGTGTCAGGGCTACCAGTTGTGTGAGTGAACAGAGAGTTCTGCTTTTGGGAGTATTTTACGCTCATTTGGCACAGGAGTGAATGACTACCCCAGGAGCAGGACTGGGAAGAATCAGGCCCAACAGGACTATTTGTATGGGTAGCGCCAACAAGTATGCTCCTTCATAATGAATAAAAACCTCTTAGTGGGAAAATATGGCACCATGTACCTGTGTGATCAATTGTGGTGAAGTCCACAAGCAATTTCTGTTAATCTAATCTAAGTAAATATTACTATGTGCACTTGATTTTTAAATATGTAAATATATATGTCAGTTAGCTGTGGCCCACAATTAGTAATATCAGAAGGTCTATTGGTTGTCAAGTTTGGACACTCTGTTCTTGCTGAATCCTGTGGGAATGTTTTGTGTGAGATTCTTTTTTTGGTTAGAATAGCAATGCCTGTAACATCTTGCAGTTCAGGACAAGGTGAGCTACGATTAGAACAGGAATAATTTTGAACAGCCAATTTTAACACCTCTCTTATTCACCTGTTATGTAATTTAGTTCCACCAGCAATAGCTAATAATAAAGATGAAGCAGAGAAGCTAATTGCCCTACAGGATGCCTCCATAAACATTGAATGTACTGCTGTTGGCACCCCACCACCACAAATAAACTGGCTTAAGAATGGGCTTCCTCTCTCTATCTCATCCCAGATCAGGTTGTTGTCAGCTGGACAGATTCTCAGGTGAGTTTTCAGTTATCTAAAGTATCTGAGCTAAATTCTGCCCTCAGTTAACCCTAATGCATCTCTGCTGAGATTGGTGTAGGCCAGGGTAGAATTTGGCCCTCTGCAATCATACTCTGTTATATGTCTGGAGCAATGCATTCCATATGGTAGCCATGGATGAGATAACTGCAGCTGTGTTCTTTACAGAATTGTGAGAGCTCAGGTGTCTGATGTTGGTGTGTACACTTGTGTAGCATCTAACAGAGCTGGAGTGGACAATAAACACTATAATCTTCAAGTTTATGGTAAGTTTCTTTGTGATATTAAGTGAAAAAAGTTGCATTTTGTAGTTAATTTTTTAAGTGTAACAGCAGGAGGGTAGAAATCTTCCCGATTGAAACTCTCTGGATAATTGAGAACATTGAGATTTTGCCTCTCAGAGGACAAATGCTATTTATTTTCTTACCAACACAAGATTGAAGACTTTACTAAGTAGATATGTGGCAAATGCTTTATATGGAAACTTTAAATTTTGCTAACATTTTTGTAAGGTAAGAGGAGTTGAACCTTAAAACCCTCTTTACTTTTTTTGGCTCAGATAACATGTTGTAGACTTTTCTCCTTTGATTAAATGTGGTGCATTATTTCTACTTGAATTGTAACACACACACACCACAAGTGTAAGAAATCTAGAAAATTTAATTGCTTAACAGGGCATTTATTTTATATTAAGAATTAGTGTGTGAGTGTATTCCATAATTATCATATCTGTTTCTCTGCAGTACCACCAACCATGGACAATGCAGGAGAAACAGAGGAAGTGACTACAGTAAAAGGCAATCCAACTTCTATGATGTGCTTTACTGATGGCACCCCCACCCCCAATATGGTATGGCTTAAAAATGGACAACCCCTAAGCCTTGGAACCCATCTGACTATAAGTAATCAAGGAATGGTCCTTCACATTTCAACAACAGAGACTGATGACACAGGCAGATTCACCTGTATAGCATCCAATGAAGCGGGGGAAGTCAGCAAGTACTTTACCCTAAAAGTGTTGGGTAAGTGTTAATTTTACATTCAGACAAGATGAAAAATATGCCTAAAATAGAAACAATAATTTAAAAGTCTTTAGAAATTTAGAACATTTTCAGGAAGTGGGTTGGACTAGATGACCTCTTGAGGTCCCTTCCAACCCTGATATTCTATGATTCTATGAAGTAGTGTTCATGAGATAGCAGAATTAAAGGGATGGAATTTACCTTTGAGTGGACATGGTGAAAATTTGAATATTGGTATTTGAGATTTACAGGTAACAGCAACATGCTAAATATAAATCAGCATATTGATGTACAGAATAATTTGCTTTAACCAGGTAACTTCGGTGTAACAGAAATTAAATTCAACGGACTAGATCATCAGCTGGTGTAAACTGGCATAGCTTGACGATGTTATACCTATTTCATTTACATGAAGATCTAATACAAATTCTCTTTTACTGTATAGTGTATTCCTCCCAAGCATATCAAAACATTTTACACATACTAATCTAGTCTCACAACAGCCATGTAACAGAGAAAAATATGATTATATTTCGCTTATGTTGCTAACCTGAGGCAAAGAGAACTCATGTGAGTTGATCTATGTCACACAGGGCGTCGGTGACCTGAGCAGGAATAAAACACATCAATCTGGAATCTACTACTCTAACCATTTGATTGCCCATCATGTTTTATAAATCTGAATTTTTGTTAGTAAAGAACATGAATTGTCTTTCCTTGCTGCAGAACCCCCTCATATCAATGGATCTGATCAACCAGAAGAGATATCTGTGGTTGTTAACCACCTACTGGAGCTTTTTTGTATGTCTATTGGCATCCCAGTCCCCAAAATCACATGGATGAAGGATGGGCGTCCACTCCCACAAAATGACAATGTTCATGTCCTGAGAGGAGGAGAGGTCCTTCGAATAGCCAGTGCTCAGGTGACTGACACATGTAAATTAAGTTTGGCTTTGCAAACCCTGGACTGGCTTGCAGAGCTAGGCTCATCACCAGTTTCATGGTACACTATGTCTAGTCTGATTTCAGGCGGGTTTGTACTCTGCACAGCTCAGTTGTGCCTCCACTGCCACTACCAATGCTACCATAGCCAGGGCCGGCTCTGGCTTTTTGGCCGCCCCAAGCAAAAAAAAAAACCTGCGGCGTGGCCGGAGCCAGGGTGCAGGGGGACTCCCTGCGCTGCAGATGTACCCCGGCTAGCGGAGGGAGCAGGGGGGAGAGAGAAAGAAGGGGGGCGGCCAGGGCTTCAGCGGGGCGCTGCCACGCGGCCCCACCGCCTGCCGGGAGGGCTCTGCGCTGCTCTGGTCGGCTGGGAGGGAAGGATGCGGGCTGCCCTGCCGGGCTTGCTGCAGGGCGCTCCCGTCCTCCGCGCCGCCGCCACCTACAGGGCGGCCGGAGCGGAACACCACCACACAAAAAAAAAAGCGGGCGTGCCGCCCTAGAATTGGGCAGAATGCCGCCTCCTACAAGCTGCCGCCCCAAGCACCAGCTTGCTCGGCTGGTGCCTGGAGCCAGCCCTGACCATAGCTACACTGCTATTTATCCTTGCACTAGCTTGATGAGAGCTAGCATGAGTAAGTGTACACAAACAGGGAACTAACACCCCTCGTTCATAGACATAACTGTAGTCTTTAAACTATAACTCGGCATAATGCTAAGAGACGCTATACCATCCCTCTATTGGTGTAAAGCCAAGGTCCTGACAACTTGTGGTCATTAATGAACCTGCAACGCTTTTCCGTGGAGTAGGAGAGTTAATCAGTTTGACTGGCCAAATTCTAAACTGGGTAATGACGTTCTGCCTACGCAAAATCCCCCCTGCAGTTGCAGCTGGACAAGATATTTTTCACTTTCTGCCTCATTGTTTTGAACCCTGACCCAGCTGCAGGTGCATTGATACCATAGTTGACACTGTGATTTGGCACTTCCCTCTCCTTGCCCAAGCTACTCTAAAATGCATTCCAGAATCCTTTGAACTGCCTTCAGTGGAGCTTCCTGAGACAGCAGGGCAGACAGCACAGGGGACTCTGATGTGTATCTTCCCCTTCTGTCTTAATTTCTGTATCTACCCTGCTACCTCTCTGTTTTTCTCCTCTTTTCCCTCCCTTTTGGCTCTTCTGTCTATTTTTTTGTTTTTCTTCTATTGTCTGTGATCCCTTCCCCCTTGTTTTACACATGGATGGACCACAGAGGCAAGCTAACTAGGATTTACAACCATTTGTATAGGTTTCAGAGTAGCAGCCGTGTTAGTTTGTATCCGCAAAAAGAACAGGAGTACTTGTGGCACCTTAGAGACTAACAAATTTATTAGAGCATAAGCTTTCGATGGGCTACAGCCCACTTCTTCAGATGCATATAGAGTGAAACATATATTGAGGAGATATATATACACACATACAGAGAGCATGAACAGGTGGGAGTTGTCTTACCAACTCTGAGAGGCCAATTAAGTAAGAGAAAAAAACTTTTGAAGTGATAATCAAGATAGCTCAGTACAGACAGTTTGGTAAGAAGTGTGAGAATACTTACAAGGGGAGATAGATTCAATGTTTGTAATGGCTCAGCCATTCCCAGTCCTTATTCAATCCTGAGTTGATTGTGTCTAGTTTGCATATCAATTCCAGCTCAGCAGTCTCTCGTTGGAGTCTGTTTTTGAAGTTTTTCTGTTGTAAGATAGCCACCCGCAGGTCTGTCATTGAATGGCCAGACAGGATAAAGTGTTCTCCCACTGGTTTTTGAGTATTATGATTCCTGCTGAAGTGAAAAAACAGATTGACAGAGCCAGACGAGTACCCAGAAGTCACCTCCTACATGACAGGCCCAACAAAGAAAATAACAGAACACCACTAGCTGTCACTTTCAGCCCCCAACTAAAACCTCTCCAGCGCATCATCAGAGATCTACAACTTATCCTGAAAGATGATCCTTTACTCTCACAGATCTTGGGAGACAGACCTGTCCTCGCTTACAGACAACCCCCCAACCTAAAGCAAATACTCACCAGCAACCACACATCACTGAACAAAAACACTGACCCAGGAACCTATCCTTGTAACAAAGCCCGATGCCAACTCTGTCCACATATCTATTCAAGTGACATCATCATAGGGCCTAAGCACATCAGCCATACCATCAGGGGCTCGTTCACCTGCACATCTACCAATGTGATATATGCCATCATGTGCCAGCAATGCCCCTCTGCCATGTACATTGGCCAAACCGGACAGTCTCTACGCAAAAGAATTAATGGACACAAATCTGACATCAGGAATCATAATACTCAAAAACCCGTGGGAGAACACTTTAACCTGTCTGGCTATCTTACAACAGAAAAACTTCAAAAACAGACTCCAACGAGAGACTGCTGAGCTGGAATTGATATGCAAACTAGACACAATCAACTCAGGATTGAATAAGGACTGGGAAAGGCTGAGCCATTACAAACATTGAATCTATCTCCCCTTGTAAGTATTCTCACACTTCTTATCAAACTGTCTGTACTGAGCTATCTTGATTATCACTTCAAAAGTTTTTTTCTCTTACTTAATTGGCCTCTCAGAGTTGGTAAGACAACTCCCACCTGTTCATGCTCTCTGTATGTGTGTATATATATCTCCTCAATATATGTTTCACTCTATATGCATCCGAAGAAGTGGGCTGTAGCCCACGAAAGCTTATGCTCTAATAAATTTGTTAGTCTCTAAGGTGCCACAAGTACTCCTGTTCTTTTTAACCATTTGTATAGGAACTAGGAAAGGAAGTGGTCTGAGAAACTAATAAAGACCATACAAGAAAAAATTCCAATCTACTCAGACAATTTAAACTGAGACTTAAAAAAATCCCTAAAACACTGAAACCACATACCCTAATCACTATGAAGACAGCTGGACTTCAACTTTGTAGTTATCATGCAGTATCATGGGAAGAGTTGGACAAAGACAGATCCAGACTAATATTTTGTTGTTGCTCATATGATAAACCCCTTGCTCCCTCCACCCCCAAGACTTTACACAGAACGATTTATGAGGCACAGAAGATAATAAAGATGTTAGTAAATATTTGAGAATGCAAATAATTCTCGGGGGCAGAAAGATACATTTTACAAGAATACCTATGTAAAGGCCAGATTGTGAGAGGTAATTGCATGGCTGTGCAAGAGCAGAGAGAGGGGAGAGCCAAAAAGCTTGTAGGCAGGCAAAGGACCTCTTCATAATAGCAGTCTGTGTGCTCCCGTGCTCTGGAGAGCATAGGCACTGTTAGTGCTACCTTCTCTCAGGGAGCAAGATGCCAAGAAAGGTTTGGGGAGGAGGCAGAGTCCCATTTCCTCCCCTTCGTCCCATGCTGGCCCATTGTGTGGGCTGATGCATTCGGAGAACAATCTATTCCATCCTAATGGATTGTTCATTGCAGAGAGCCGCACCAGAAGAGAATGTATCTGCTCGAAGCACATTAGCCCTGGTGCTTTTTTTCTGGGATGCTGCAGCTGCACACCACCTCCACAAAGGATTGTGGCCTGATGGCCACAATCTACCCCAAATAAAATAAACAAGCTTTCAAATATTTCTGGTTGCTTACTCTCCCAGGAATTGCTTGTCTATTTTCTTCTGTTTCCCTTGTGTTTTTTAACCGATATCTGCTAATCAAAGACAACTGCGAACATCACTACTTCTTTTGCTGTTTTAATTGAATTGGTCCCATATTCTGAAGTTTCTATTAAAGTTATCTGGGTGTCCTTTAGGTGGAAGACACAGGAAGATATACGTGTTTGGCATCTAGTCCTGCAGGAGATGACGATAAAGAATATCTAGTAAGAGTGCATGGTAAGCTTGATCTGGAAACAATTAAAGCATTCTTTAATACTATAAGCCGAATACTGAATTATCTACTGCTTTTAAAAGCTAGAAAAAGTTATCCAGTGAATAATGCCTGACAAAGAAAAAACTCTTTGAGTACCATTTTCAGTGATCTTACCAGGTTTTGGACTGCATCTGTCATCTCCTTTCTAGAACAGAAGATCCAAGGACTAGGTCCTAAGTAAGGACCTCTGTAACAAAGCAGATCTTTTTTAGAGGAAGTGGAGTTGGTAGTACTCTTTAAGGTTATTTAGTCATTAGTCCTTCCCTTTTACAAATTAACTACACTTAAATTAAAAAAGGAAAAGGATAAACAAATGAAAGGAAACATTGAGATTACAAATTTAGTAGACAGATGTAATTGATGCACTATACTTAGACTTCTATAAGGCATTTGACTTGGTACAACATAACATTTTGATTAGGAGACTAAAATGATACAAAATCAACATAGCACATTAAATGGATTAAGAAATGGCTAACTGATAGGTGCCAAAATGTGATTGTAAATGGGGAATCATTGAGTGGATGTGCTTCTAGGATGGTACTTCAGGGATCAGTTCTTCATCCTACACTATTTAACATTTTGAACAATGACCTGGAAGAAAACAAGAAATCATCACTGATCAAGTTTGCAAAAGATACAAAGATTAGGGAATAGTAAATAATGAAGAGGACAGGTCACTGATACAGAGCAAACTGGATTGCTTGGTGAGCTGGGTGCAAGCAAACAAGATGTGTTTCAGTACTGTGACATGTAAAGTCACACATCTAGGAACAAAAAATGAAGGCCATACTTACAGGATGGGGGACTCTATCTTGGAAAAGACTTGGGGATCATGTTGGATAATCAGCTGAATATGGGCTCCCAGTGTGACACTTTGGCCAAGGGCTAACTAAGGTGAATCTTCAGTGGAGTAAAAAGGTTATATTATGTCTCTTTTTTCCACTGGTGTGACCACTCCTGGAATATTGTGTCCAGTTCTGATGTTCACACTTCAAGAAGTATTCTGGAAAAACTGAAGAGGCTTCAGAAAAGAGCCATGAGAATGATTAGAGGATGGGAAAATCTGTTTTATAGCGAAAGACTCAAGGAGTTCAAGCTATTTAGCTTATCCAAAAGAAGGTTAAGGGGTGAATTGATCCCGGTCTATAAGTACCTATATGTGGAACAAATATTTGATAATGGGCTCTTCAATCTTGCAAACGGAAGTATAACACAATCCAATGGCTGGATGTTGTAGCTAGATAAATTCAGACTGGAAATTAGGAGTCCATTTTTAACGGTGAGGATTATTAACCACTGGCACAATTTACCAATGGTTGTGGTGGATTCTCCATCACTGGTAATTTCTAAATCACAACAGGATGTTTTTTCTAGAAGATACGTTCTAGGAATAATTTTGAGGATTTTCTATGACCCATGTTATACAGGATGTCAAACTAGATGACCGCAATGGTCCCTTCTGACCTTGGAATCTATAAATCTGTATACTGAGGGTCAGGAAAACAGAAGTGACAATACACCTCCTCAGAAAGAGGATATTAAATCAGGTGTAGTTACTTAATGTTTGTATATAATGTAGCTATTCAGAACATGACACAATTATGATGGAACTTGCAAACTTAGTTATTTAAAATAAAACACAAGCAATTATAATGGAAATCAGAGTAACAAAGAAAGTTAGAGGAATGAATGTCCTTTGGCCTTTTTCAATAAGACTGAGAAGGAATAAAGAGGACAGGATATGTGTGTGTGTGTGTGTGTGTGTGTGTGTGTGTATACACACCCACACATTTACAATATACATTTCATATTATATAAAAAAATAAAAGAAATGGCAGCTGAATCAGTATGTCAGCTCCTCTAGATCTAGAATAGACCTTAGATCTTGTCAATCTAGTCTCTGAAGAATAAGACACTGCAAAATAATTTCCTCTCTGCCCTAGGGAGAAAACTCAGTGTTAAATGACTATATGGTAGCAGAAGTAAATTCACAAAAGATGTCTCACAGATGAGTGAGCCTTTTGCTTCTTGCAGACTTGCACAATTCCTACATGAATTCTTCCTACAGTGCAGAAGTTTTATCAAATCAAGGTTTTGCTTATCCAGTGAATGACTGTTGATGAAGAGGGTTATGGAGCTTGAGGTATCCTGACTTCATCTGGCTAAGTGCTGGTTTCTTCACAGAGAATGGACTTTCAACTAATTTCCATCAGTTAGTGGTTTGTGACGTGCGGTTTTAGGAAATGGGTTATACCTAGTCAAATGAGGGTGATATATTTTGCAGATAAAAGCCAGACCTGATATTGGCAATGAAAAGCAAAAGCAGTTAATTGTACTGCTGCTCTGCTGGTATATCACAAAACCTTATTTGAGAATTACACACTGGGATTCTATCCATAGAAATGTTTTAATTAAAGTTCATATTTGTCATGCTTTTCTTATTCTCAATTTTTTTTTAACAGTTCCCCCTAACATTGCTGGCACCAGTGGGCCTCAGGATCTCACTGTGCTGCAGAACAGACAAGTTATATTGGAGTGCAAGTCAGATGCAGTGCCACCTCCTACGATCACCTGGCTTAAAGATGGAGAACGTTTACAGGTACATTGGCTATGTTATTTTCACAAATTTGTCGCATTTTTGCATTCTGCACAAAGGGCATGAACTTAAATTTCTGATTCTACTCACTTGCTCCTTCAGCACAGTTGAGTTGTGGTCCCTTGAGGTCAAGAGAAGGTTGTTGAGTAGCCCTGGTCCAAATACAACTTGACTTAACAAGTACATGAAGACAGTGACCACATGAACTGGCCATCCCGCTGTGATTTGTTCTCTTTTCCTTTAGGGGGATCCCTTGCTCCTCCTGGATCCTTTGAGCAATCCTAGAAGCCTTCGGTATACTCCTGAATGGCTTCCCAGGAAAGGTAGCTGAGAAAGATTACACTATACATTTAACTTTGAGTATATTATGAATCTTCATATTCTAGTAACATTTAGAAAGGAAAGAAATTTCTTTAAATTGAAGAGAAATAAGTAGCTTACTTTAATCTCTGTTAATCATCACAATTTTGCACCAAATGCACCTATTGACTCAGAATTTAATGCAGTGGCAGTGAGGCATCACATCCTTATTGGTTAAGTCAAAGGAGGAAGAACAGAGTAGTTCAACTGGAGACTTTTCTATTGCTCATCATCCATTATAGGGCCACATAGATTTTCAATCACATAGCCCTTCCCCAGTGGACTACTTGGCCTTGTCTAATGTCATGTTGGGTTTCCTGGAGACTGTGCTGAGCAAACTCAGGTTTTTGCTTTATATTGGCACTTTAATTGTTCAGAAAGAAAAAGGTAAATCCATGTGAACCATCAGTTTGTTAGACCCTTAACTTTGGTCCCTTTCCAGACTTCATCCATGACCTCTTGGTTCACTGTGATCCATTTAGGATGAGCACAGACATTCTTTGTCTGTGTGTGTCTCAAGTGTCCGTCCCCTTGTTGTCTTTCTCCCCCCCCCCACCCCAATAACAGTGGATGATACTTATACATTAAGTTTGAGTTAGCTCAAAGAACTTGGGCCAGATAGCCATGCCAGTACTGACATGAGTGTTTTAACTGGCAAAGACATGACTGCACCAAAAAAGGTTCCAGTACAAATAGGCTGTTGCCAGTTCCAGCTTCACTTGTCCAGTTCCAATAAAAGGAAGAAATATTTGGAAATAGAGAGTGCTCATGGGATTCACAGTGTGTTCCACTGTCCTCTGTGTGTGTAAGAAGGGTTCTTTTATTCTCTTTAGAGAGAAATAAATTCCTATCCATAAGACTCTTATCTAATGTATATTTAAAGAACAAAATAATATTGGATGCTAAATGAGTACTGGATTATGCCTTTGAGGGATAGTCTAGAGACAGGAAGGGCACCACTTCAACAGTAGCTCTTGCAGTCACTATATCTGAGATAAGCACAATTCCTTTGGGTGCTATGCCTTCGTGGTACATGGTTGACCACTTAGGTCACCTGGTATTATTTCTACTTCTTACGTGGATGACAAGCTTTTATAAACAGGAGGCTGGAAAGGGATTGGAAGAAGGCAGCATGAATGCTTCTGACATGTACCTTCCTGGAAAACATATTTGCAAAAGTATTTGAGGCTTTTGTTTTCTGTCAACATTCCTATGCTTAAAAAGAAAAGAAAAGAAAAGAAAAAAAATCACTCATACAAGTGTTTGCAGAAAACAAAAATTATGACGTTTTGTGAATAGTGTTGAAAGATAATCAGTTATTCACATGACATTTGGGAATTATTTTTGAAGTATTAACCAGCCCTACTATGAGCCCTGGAACTGAGCCCTTCAAGTTAGGGTTGAGGCATATTAGTTTGGCAGGATGGTGATGCTTCCACTACCCTGAGCATATTTTGTGGGTCAATAGAGGACTTCAGTCTGCAGAGCTATTTAGAACATCTCAGCTGCACTACATTCACACCATTCTAATAAAAGAACTGTGCAGTCCACACAAACCTTTGTAAAAAATTTGCCATGTGAAGTGCAACTACGAGATTTGGGTTTCCTTTATCCCCCCACTACTCTTTCCATTGTTGAGTGTAGCTATGTAAGCATATATCTCCCATATTTCTGGGGCACAGTTTTCTTTTTCTTTTTTTGATCTTGGAAGTCTGACTGGAGACAGATCACTTTTGCCTAATAAGGAAAAATGAGATGTTCAAGTTGTGTATATAATTAGCCAAATGCTTTCCTGACCTCAAGGGAGGACTGTCATCCACTAATATTAAAGAAACACAGAGGGAGGTACACCCAGGAGTGGAAAGAGTAATCCTGCTTTGCCTTGGGAAAAGTGGACAGTTTCACAATGAGGAGAGGGTAGTTTTTGGAAAATACCGATTTTTGGATGGTAGTACTTCAGCATTATTTTAATTGAAAATCATCATTGTTTTTAGTTATACCCTCTTATGAGCTTTTAATTGAAACTTCATTCCCTACTAGTTTTGTCTTCTTCCATTGGGAAAACTTCAATCTTCTCTCCTATTCTGTCTCTAATAGCCAAATCTTAAATCTTGTGTTTGTTTAATGGTATGTTTGTGCACCATTATCATCTCTGACAGCAGAACAAAAGGTGTATCTGACATTACTATACTTCTAGGAATGGTTTGACTGCGATATTTGGGTTCACAAGGAATGTAGGATCAGGCCCTAAGAGTATTAACTAATAGATACATTAGAGAGGCTTGATTCAAAGCCCATTGAAGTCCGTGGGAGTCTTTTCATTGTCTTAATTGGGCTTTGGATCAGGCCCTAACAGAGCAGTGGATTTTGTTTTTTAAAGATAGGACCCAGTGGAGTTTTCATTATCATGAGGATTATAATTAAAGTACGGTTTGGGAACTAAACTATAATTTTCTTGCCTTTGTTTTGTCATATATTATATGCTTCTAAGGTCATAGCAATTGTGCTGAAATATGTAAGAGGAGTAAATACAAATATACAAAAAATACCAGTTATTACAAATATGAGGCGTTTTAAGTAGCCTCTGCCCAAGGGCCTGGCAATGGGAGGTGGCTTATTTCACTTCTAGGGCCCCAGTGCTGCAATCTGTTCTGCATGGGTGGACCCCTTTGACTATGGGAGGCCCTATTGACTTCAGTGGGATTCTGTACTAACCTGGTGTCCACCTGCAGAGAAGGAGTTGCAGAATTGGAGGCCTAAAGGTTCAGAAACCATAAGAGAAGTTAAACAACACCAAATTTAGTATTAAAAGAACCCGTCATGATTTTTAAACTAGTTTCAGGATGGTGTGGGCCCTTGGATGGTTTGAACACTTGGAGTTGGCAGTACTATAGTACACCAGTACAAATCTTGTCCAGACTGGTAGTGACCAAAAGCAATTCACATCTAATGGCTGTTTTTGCACAATCTGTTCACAGTGCAGTGCCAAACAGACAGGGATCCGTCCACCTCTGGCATCCTTGCAGGCAGTCTCACTGTAGAGGCTAATCTGTTGCATAATGGAAATGATTCCTTTAAGTCAAGGCTGTGGCACATTGAAAGAGCAGTGTGGGAAAGCTTTTATTTGTTCTACCAGTGATATGCCTGGGTGTGGATAAAGAATGCACTTCAATTTTGTGCCATCAAACTGCCATCTTACATGAAAACCAAAAAAACATTTATAATTAATTGTTTTGGTCACAAATTCTAATCCCCAGTTCAGGCAAAATTCCTGAGTAATGAATTCATGATTGAGTCTATAAATTGCCATCAATATTTTAAAACTCAACTAAATTTTCTAAGAGATGTAACAGAGCCTTATTTATTGTTGCATGCAGTGCTGAGGAAGCTGTGTCAGTCCCAGGATATTAGAGAGACAATGTGAGGCAATATTATCTTTTATTGGATCAACTTTTGTTGGTACAAGAGACAAGTTTCTGAGTTTACACACAGCTTTTCTTCAGGTCTAGGAAACTACTCCAAAGCTTGTCTCTCTCACCAACAGAAGTTGGTTCAATAAAAGATGTTACCCCATCCCCCTTGTCTCCCTTGTTTATCCTTGTAACTTCACCAAGACAAATGAAGTTAAGCCATCAATGAATTTGACCCATTATGTTCTTATGGCCACCCTATCAAACCTCCTATTACTTTGTAACATGAATTTTCAGTACAGTGGAAAACCATGGTAAAATTAGTTCTACTTGTTGAACTTTCCTTAGGCAACTCCTCGAGTCCGCATCCTATCCAGTGGCCGATATCTGCAGATCAATAATGCTGACCTAGGTGATACAGCAAGCTATACCTGTGTGGCAAGTAACATAGCAGGAAAAACTACCAGAGAGTTTGTGCTGACTGTAAACGGTAAAGAATATGGATTAATTCTTAACTATTATAATCTTTGCACAGTATGTCTGAGAGTTGGAAAAGATGGAATATGTTTACTGGACTCCTCACAACCAATAAGCAGAAGTACAGTAATTTTGTTAATATATCAATCCAAAAAATACTTTAAAGAATGTTTTAAGATAGCCCAGGGAACTTTCCTTCTGCCCCCATGTGTGTTTGTATTATAAAAGTCACATTAGGGCCCATATCCACAAAGGTATTCCACTGAAATCAGTGGCAGTTAGGAGCCTAATGCCATTGTAGGTCTAGGGTGAGGTGCTTTGAAGAGATGAGGCATTTGGTTTCCATTGAGCAGGGTGATGTCTGAATTGCTTCTATCGCATATTTTTCTGGTTGATGCATGGAACAAAATGAATGAACAGCTCTGAAGGGAGGCTAAGCATAGGACCTTCCTGGCCACACATAAATTTTCCATTAAGATTGTTAACAAGGCTCAGGGTGGGTTTTTCTCTTATTAAGACAGGGCAATACTACTACAAGACACTGCAGTCTGCAAAGGCACAGATATTAATTTTGAGGTACAGCTACTGGGGGAGGGCTAAGCCCTAATTTCAGTGTCTCATGCCAGAGTCAAAATCCTAGATTCAGTTCAAACAGATGGTTTGTGTGTAATAAAACATAGTCTGGGACAGATAGTCTCAATGTCCTACTTGATTTCCTGATTTTTAAAAGGTATCAAAGAATTTTTGAATTTTAGAAATGTAGGTCTGGAAGGGATCTCAAGAAGTCATCTTGTCCATTCCCCTGTGCTGGGACCATGCCATGTGCCAGCGCTAACAATTTAAGATCATTAGTAGATGGCATAGAAATCTATCATCTTTTTAATTTGTAAAAGATGAGAAGTTTTTCTTTAATTTTCCATTACAGTATACCAGCTTTCATGTATTGTATCAAATTTAAAGAAGCTTGTTGGTACACTCATGGGGGCACAATTCTTTTGTCATAGCAGACATTCCCATGGGTCTAATTTAAAACAGTTCAGAATACAACTCTCTCTCTAATATCATGTGGAATTCTTTCTTATACAGTTGCTCCCACAATCAAAGGTGGTCCTCAGACAGTTGTTGTGAATATAAATAAATCTGTTGTTCTGGAGTGTGTTGCAGAAGGAGTGCCAACCCCAAGAATTACATGGAGAAAGGATGGGGCTATTTTTGCTGGAAACAATGCCAGGTAGCATCTAATAATAACATTCTGTAGAAACTTTTTAACCATGTATTTGTAATAGAAGACTTGGAGTGAAATCTCTTGGGATTTTATTTGCATTAATTTTACATTCACAAACTCAGTATTAATGTTAGTATTCATTCATTCAGTGTGTATTCATTCATCACTTGGATTTTCTCAGTTTAAATGAGTGATAATAAAAATCTCTTTCATAACATATACAAAGCTGATATATTTCCATTTGAAAGTCATTGTAGGAGTCAGTTTTCATAATTACTTTGAAAGGGGTATAGCAGATGTGCTGAAAGACAGACTCAAGGCAGAATGAGTGTAATATGTTCAAAAAGAAAAATTATATATGGCTAAATTAAGGTGCTACATGTTTTGCCTACCCTTGTGCCCCCTGTGTTCTTCTGTTTCTCCTTCCTCACAACTTAGCCACAGTTCCTGCCATGAAAAATTAAATTAATGCCTATAACTTTGTTTTAGATATTCAGTGTTAGAGGATGGTTCCCTGTACATTCACACAGCACACGTTACCGACACTGGACGATATTTGTGTATGGCAACCAATGCAGCTGGTACTGAACGCAAGCGAATTGATCTACAGGTCCAGGGTAAATATTTCTTTTTCAGATAAACACAAATGTTCTACAAAAACTGGACATATTGGATTTCTTGATTGTTGCTGAATCTTGAAATCTATCTTTATTAGTAATGGACTGGAACTGCAGAAAAGCAACTCAGAGCCTGCTTTTCAAGTACTCAGGCTTTGGGCTATTTGGATCTGGGACACTGGTTCAGGCCATTATAGAGAAAGGGGTCAATGAAAGTCAGATCCATGCACAGAATATAGATGTCCCCAAAATTCAGGATTATTCACATCTGGGATTTTGTTTAAGGCTTCTCTCTAGGGTTTTTTTTTTTTTTTTGTAAGCCCTTAAAAATTCTCTGTGTTATGAACACTGCCTAAATATTTGTGAACAGAAAAAACAGTTGTTCTTTGTTAACTGGTGTGTGTACATCAACAGGATATACACAGAACTGAGAGACATTCCCGAGTGCATTTTTTTGGCAAATTTATAAATGTCAGATGATCCATGCTACAGAAAAGGATAGTTTCAAATAGTTCAACTTGAAAAAATATACATTCTCTTAAAATTACCTGGGCTTCATATGTTCTTTAGTTCCTCCATCTATCGCTCCTGGACCCACCAATATTACAGTTACTGTAAATGTCCAAACCACCCTGCCCTGTGACACCACTGGAATCCCCAGGCCAGCAATAAGTTGGAAGAAGAATGGGCATCTCCTTAATGTTGATCAGAATCAGAATACATACAGGTGAGAAATGCTCTAATCTTTGTTGTGGGCTAAATTCATCTCTGGTGCAAATCTATTCTGAGATTGGTTTGGCCTATTTTAATTTAATTTAAAATTTGCTTTTAAATAAATAGACAAACTTCATTGCATGACTGTTAGTAGTAGTACTGAACTGGTTTACTGGTGAACTGGTTTAAATAAAACATTGCCTGCCACCTGATGTACACATGTTTAGTAATAAAGTTCTACTCTTTGCCTTGTATTTTAACAATGTGTGTCTATTTGCATTTGACTTAATGTTTTTTATTCACCTCTGAGATCCACTGAAGAGGTCAAAATAATGTAAGATATGCTCTTTTCATGGTATTTATGTTCCTGGTTGGTGGAAACACTGAGAAAACCAGAGAGAAACACTCAGACATCCCATTTGTATATGGGCCCTGTAGACCCTGGAAACATTTAGATTTTGCCAGAGTGAGGTACTAACTTTTGCTAAGAGCAAACTATTGCAGCTCAGAACAGCAATAATTAGTTCTCAGTTTGCAGCTGTTTGGCCAGATGGGCCACAATGATGCACAAAGAATGGCCACGGGTGAGAAAAATTTCTGAGGATCCCCTGGAATGGTATGGGGGTTTGCTCCCCGGCTGAAAGAGTGGTGGGTTCCTCCTTCAAACCCTGTGGCTTTATTACTGTGGAACCCCAGTGTCTCATATCTCTACCCTCCACCAAAGCCAGGCTGCGAGGGATTCTCTCTGGCCAGGGCTGACCTACAGGAAAGGGATGGTGGGGGAGACACTTTGCTTTCTTTTGGCCCTGACCCCACCAAACATTGGCTCCCCATAGTGACCCAGATTCCACTCCCACAGAGAGCTCTTAATGGGATACTGGGAATGGGTTTGGGGCCCCAGAGTTGACTCCCATTCCATGCCAGAGCAGCGAGATCCCCATGTAAAGAGCTCCATCTCTGTGTGCTCTTGTTTTACATGGTAGGTAGGAAATCTTTCCTGACCCTTATAGTGCTCAGCTTACACTCTGAAATGTGAGAATTGACTTCTTACCTAACTTCCATTAAATATTTACAATTGCCATTTGCAAGTAATTAATGTTACCATTAATGTTACTGTAATAACATTGTGGCTCTGTACCATTGTCTTCTATTGTCAAGTATCAAAGGGGTAGCCGTGTTAGTCTAGATCTGTAAAAGCAGCAAAGAGTCCTGTGGCACCTTATAGATCAACAGACGTATAGGAGCATGAGCTTTCGTGGGTGTATACCCACTTCTTCGGATGCATGTAGTGGAAATTTCCAGGGGCAGGTATAAATATGCAAGCAAGAGTGAGTAAGGCTAGAGATAACGAGGTTAGTTCAATCAGGGAGGATGAGGCCCTCTTCTAGCAGTTGAGGTGTGAACACCAAGGGAGGAGAAACGTGCTGAGTGAAGAGATGTTTCAATATCTTTTAATTGCTTTATTTCAGGCTTTTGTCTTCAGGTTCACTACTAATCATTTCTCCCACTGTGGATGACACTGCAGTCTATGTGTGCACTGTGTCAAATGATGCAGGAGAGGATCAAAGAACAATTGATTTCATTGTACAAGGTAAAGCAGACATTGTAAATGTCTTCGGGACAATCCTTTATTTAAATGAGAACTGTAATTTTGATGCTTATTCTATTGAGCTTTTACTCTTGTTAAGAAAGAGGACATTGCTATATGCAAACCTCTATTTGACATGAGAATGGTCGATAATCCTAACACTGTTCTCCTTGCTTTAGTGCCCCCATCCATAGCAGATGAAACTACAGATCTTCTGGTAACAAAACTGTCTCCAGCAGTAATTTCCTGCACTGCTTCAGGTGTTCCTGTCCCCTCAATCCACTGGACCAAAAATGGGATACGACTTCTTCCCAGAGGAGATGGCTACAGGATTCTGTCTTCAGGTATTATGCATGATTTGAGTAGATGCAGAAAATGCTAGAAGAAGGTGCATTACTATTTTCATTGTAAATATTTTAGAATAAAAATCTAGGGTTCTTAAACGGTATTATGGTTTCTCTGTTTTCTTTGAACGTAAGATAGTATAATATACTACAATACTGTATAATGAATTCTCTTTTTTTCTACCCTAGGAACGATTGAAATAACTGCTGCACAGTTAGACCATGCAGGAAGGTATACATGTGTGGTCCGGAATGCTGCTGGCACTGCACACAGACATGTTACTCTTCATGTTCAGGGTGAGGTGGGAACTTGAATAGAAACATGTTTTATAAACAGCTTTAGTTGGTTTTGAAAAGAAAATGTTAGAATAATAATACAGAATAATGGTGGGACCACATTGTGCCAGTCTTACTCATGTTCAGTAGTATCTTACTCATGTGAGTAGTTTCATAGATATACTGGCTACTCGTGGAGTAAGATACCATTCAACATAAGTAAGCATGTGAAAATTTGGCCTTGTATAAATATATTTGTATCTGGTGGAAGCTACAAAGCATGGGCTCTTTTAATTTAGATTGATTCAGCACTCGGAACACAATGTAGAAAGCAATCATGCATTGATGAAGGCATGAACTAAATGATCTGATAGCTTTTTCCAACTCTAATGCCTAGGATATTATGATCTGGCCACAGGTATGACCTGCTTTGATTTTTTCTGTTAGGGCTTTTTCTGCTTTGTTGTTTTGCTTAATTAAAGTAAATTCATTAGGTGAACTAAATACGCAGGGCTAAATTCTATAATCCATATGCTGAGTAGTTCCATATTATGCAAGAGTAGTCCTACTGGGCTCATCAAAAGGATAATAGAATCCAGGCTTCAATAGTTAAATGTTCTTAGCCTCTCACATTGTACAATTTGTCTTCGTTTTATTTTCCAGCCATAAAAATATTACAACTTCTTCAATATACACTGTGTGTATTCCACACGTAAGTATGCAAGTGTACCTGGAGCTGAGTCTGGAATTTTTTTTTACAAGCAGTATCCGTTGGCCCACGCATGCGCCCTAGCTCTTCTTGAGCGCCAAACTGAGGGCATAAAAGGTGGGGTAGGTCGACGCCTGTCCAGTTCCTTCTTAGCACTACCTGGTCTGAGTTGGAATCTTGGGCATTCTCAGCTCCTTTCTACTGCATCATTGCTCTAAAGATATTGTATATTTATTTTTTAGCAGTTTTGTAGTTTTTATAGTGTAGCCTAACATAGGTTTTCCCTCTTCTGTTCCCCACACGGAATTCCCCCCCCCCCCAAGAAGTCTGGGATTGTGCCCAGTGTCCTGGGGTACAAAAACTGTGTTTCCTGCCCTCTCCTTTTCTGTGAGCGACAAACATCAATTCTGCCTCTATTGCCTGGGTGAGGCTCACATCTCTGCCAAGTGCAGCATCTGATGCTCCTTTTCCCCCAGAATTCATGAGGGTTGGGAACTGAAACTTAGAAAATATATGATGGAGAAGGAATGGGACCCCAATCAGTTCTGGACTGAGGACATCCCCTTGTATATCAGTCTCAGCAAGCAGGCAGCACCCCTCCATGCATGAGCTTGGGGACGGAGGCTAAGACTGCTAAGCCTAAGGAGGAAGCTTCACATGAGAGTAAGGGGAACTCTCATAGACACAGGGATGAGCCATCTTTGTCTAAAACTGCCCTGAAGAGAGAGGATCCCTCCCTGACCATGTCAAAATTGGGAGAGCCAGTACACATGGGCACTGAGGACTTAGGCCTGAGTATATCTTTTCAGCAGGAGAAGGAGGTGCGCAAGGGTATGGCTCTGACGGTTCCGACATTGGCTCTGATGGTGAAGACTCAGGAAAAACAGCTCCTGGTTCTCCCATCCACTTCTAGAGCCAATGCAGTACAGTAACGCCTCACTTAAAGTCATCCCAGTTAATGTTGTTCCATTGTTATAGGGAACATGCTCGTTTAAAGTTGCACAATGCTCACTTATAATGTTGTTTGACAGCTGCCTGCTTTGTCCACTGCATGCAGAAAGAGCAGCCCGTTGGAGCTAGCTGGTGGGGCTTGGAACCAGGATGGACCGGCAGCCCCCTATCAGCTCCCCGCTCTCCTAAGTTCCCTGTGTGGCAGCTGTCCAGCAGGCTAGCAATTGCTGAGCAGTTCAGCTGTCCCTCCCCCGACTGCTGTGTGCTGCTCCCAGGGCTGTCCCTAGCTATTCTGGGGCCTTATGCAGGGGGAGGAGTGGGGGGGGACTGGGTTGGCTTGCGGGTAGGATGAGTCAGAGGCACAACAGGAGTCTCTGCGGTACCAGACAGAAGTCCTCGAAGATTAGACTTCCAGCCTCCGACCAGACACAATTCATGAAGAGATAGGTTGTACCCTATGCCATGGGGTCCTCCGGTGCCAGTTGATCCATCTGTTGGCAATATTGGGGGGCTGTGGGCTTCCTACCCTAGACTCCCAGGATCAGTGCATAAACCCTATTTGCCATTGCCACCCACAACCAGCCCCATCAGAGTATTGGAGGAAGATGAGCTGGATTTGCTGGTTCCAGGAGCAATCTTGTTGTCTTCACCAGATGAGGTGGTTACTCCATCTCCACTGGAAGACTTTAAACAATAGCAAGAGCTCATGCCCAGGGGGTCAGCAGAGCTACAGATTCACCTTCAGGAAGTCCAGGATCCTCAGCACAGGTTACCGGACATGCTGCAGCCTGTAGAGTGGCCCTCCCCATCAACAAGGCCATTATGGATCCAGCAAAGGTAGTTTGGCACACTCCTGCTTCTGTTCCTCCCACCCCTAAGAGGGCTGAGAAGCATTAATTTGTTCCGCCCAAGGGGTGAGAGTTTTTGTTCCTTAAGTGATTGCACATATCCATTCCACTGTAGGTGTGTGTGCACACCTCGTGCACAGTTGTCATAATTTTTTCCTGAGCAGTACCTCTTGGGGCAGCATGAGCACTCTCTGATGCCTCACACCATTCCACGCAGACATAAAGGGTTGCACTGCCCCCTTCTGTTCCTTCCTATCACCAGTGACGGTTTGTTGGACCTGCGATGCTTGTTTTTTTTTCATATCCTTTCGTGTATATAGTACCTTGTAGTGTTAGTTTAGTATTGTATAGTAGTTCTGTTAATAATTAGTTATAGATGTGTTTTACAACACTATCTTTTTAGTGTGGGGTTACCGGTGCCTGGCTGGGTACCAGGATCAGTACTGGACTCATGCCCTATTGTATGCCTTACCTCCCATTCCTCTCCTGTCCAAAGTGTTATCCAAAGTCAAGCAAGATTCTGCTCACCTTAATCTGATAGCCCCTATATGGCTCTGTCAACACTGTTTTTTTACCCTATTAGCACTATTGGTCAGACTTCCGCTGTTTCTCCTGAGAGAGGTGAATCTTATCTCCCAGGACAACAGCCACCTTTTTCATCCCAACCTTCAGGCTCTCCACCTGACTATGTGGATGCTTCATTGCTGAAGTTTGCTTTAAGGGAGTACAGGAAGTCCTACTTTGACTAGGTCTACTTACCTTGCTAAATGGAAGAGATTCTCTGTCTGGTCCACACTGAGAGGCATTCCTCCATCTCAAACTCTGATTAGCCATATCTTGGATTATCTTTTGTTTCTAAAGCAACAGGGATTGGCTCTTAGTTTCATTAGAGTTCATCTGGTGGCTATGGATAACTGGTCTTTTTTTTTTTTTTCCAAACCCTGTACCCATCAGGTTTCTAAAAGATTTGCTTAGATCGGTGGGTCTCAAATTTTTTACTGGCAACCCCTTTCACATCACAAGCCTCTGAGTGTGACCCACCCCCTAATAAATTAAACACCCTTTTAAATATATTTAGCACCATTATAAATGTTGGAGGCAAGCAGGATTTGGGGTGGAGGTTGACAGCTTGCGACCCCCCCATGTAATGACCTCGTGACCCCCTGAGGGGTCCTGATCCCCAGTTTGAGAACCCCTGGCTTAGATTATACCCACAGAACCATAATCTGGTTCTGCAGTGGAACTTAAATTTAGTACTAGCAAAAGTTGATGGGCCCCCACTTTGAGACACTAGTGACTTCTTCCCTGTTCATGTTAATGAAAGTAGTTTTCCTGGTTGCCATAACCTCTGCCATAAATGTGGGAGAGCTATGAGCTTTGGTATCAGAGCCTTTCTGTTGCAACTTTCTTTAGGGAAAAGGTTTTCCTTCGGCTTCACCTTAAATTCCTGTCTAAAATGGTATGTGAATTTAAATCAAGAGATTTATCTATGAATATTCTTTCCCAAACCCTATATGAGTAATGAGAAGGAAAAGTTTCATACTCTAGCTGTTAGAAGAGTGTTGGCTTTTTGCACAGTCTGGATTAGACCATTCAGATTTTTGTCTAAACTTTTTGTCACCATTTCAGGTGGAGTAAAGGACCAACCAGTCTCAACCAATTGGCAGATGTCACACCTCTGGATAGAGTGGTGACTCATTCAGCCAGGTCACAGGTGACTTGTGCAGCCTTTCTGGCCAGGATTCTCATTCTGCATATTTGTAAGGCAGTTACCTGGTCACCGCTCCATACTTTTACCTCTCACAATGCCATCTCTCATCAATCCAGAGATCATGCCAGATTCAGACAAGTTGTTCTTCAATCTTTGTTCAAGTAGACTCCAAGTCCCCTTGTTCAAACTGTTTGTGAGTCATCTACGATGGAGTGGACATGTGGAATCCCTAGAAGAAAAATAAATGGTTACTTACCTTTCTGTAACTGTTGTTCTCAGTCTGCGACAGCTGAACATGATGATCTGAAAACTAAAATTCCACATGAGCTCCTTTGTATCAATAATTCCCTCTTTATAGGAGAGCACATGGTTCATGGCTCTCAACATGAAAGATGCATACTTTCACAAAGACGTTCATCCAACCCACAAGAGGTTCCTCAGGTTCCTCTTTTGGTCAAGACCATTACCAATTCAGAGTCGTCTCCTTGGACTGGACACAGCACCCAGGATCTTTACAAAGATTTTTTTTTAGTGGTGGCAGTTTGGATGAGAAAAGTGGGATTTACAGTCTTCCCATACCTCGATGACTGGCTTCTGATAGGCAACTCCCAAGAAGAAGTCTGGTGGGCACCTTAGCCTTCTGGCTTACCTTGGTATTTGCGTCAACCATGAAAAATCCACGTTGATCCCCATGAGGTACATAAACTTTATAGAGGCAACGCTGGATATGACCACAGCAAGAGCGTACCTACCTCTTGAGAGGTTTCAGGCCATGAGCACTCTCAGACAACAAGTACCTATCATACTCAGGATGCCTTTCTCTCCTTAGCCATGTGTCCTCATGCAAACATATGACACCACTCACCAGGCTTCATCTTCATTGCTTACAAGCCTGGCTTCTCTCCATGTGCTCACCAGAGAAGGGCAACATAAATGGCGGGGTGTCTGTTCCATCCAAGGTGTTGGACTCTCTTGTCTGTTGGACAAAACCAGAGAAGTTTTGAGTGGGGATCCCTTTCCTCACACCAACTCCTGAGGCACCCATCGTTACCTATTTCTCCCTCTTGGGTGGGTAACCATATGATCTTCACTCATCCTGTCACAACTAGATTTCTGAAGAGGCTTTTCAGATCCTTTCCACCATTGGTGAAGTTCACATCTTAGTGGGACCTCAATTTTGTTCTATCATATCTAGTAAACCTTCCTTTGAGCCTCTAGCGACATGCTCGATGGCTGATCTGTCCATGAAGGTGACCTTTCTAACAGCTATAACATTAACCTGAGTCAGTGAGCTTGGGGGGGAGGTACATGAGGAACTGCCATATACTACCTTCTCTAAAGAAAAGGTCTCATTATGCCCCCACCTCAGATTCATCCCTAAAGTAGTTTCCGAGTTTCATATGAGTCAGGACATCCATTCACTAGCATTTTTTCCCAAACCTCGTGCCTCAGAAGAAGAGAGAAGGATGCATCTGGATGGTCAAAGGGCTTTGGCTTTTTATCTACAAAGAACAAAGGACATTAGAAAGACAGCTAAACTATTTGTTTCCATAGCAGAGCAATCAACGGGGTCAAGCTATAATGGCACAGAGACTTTCTAAGTGTATCTCAGGTTATATTATCCTTTCTTACCAACTAGCTTGTATTCACCCACCCCCGCGCCCCCAGAAGGGATGAGGGCTTATTCCACGAGAGGGCAGGATGCTTTGGTTGCATCTCTGAGATGTACCCTTACTAGAGATATGTAAGGTAGCTACTTGGAGCTCTTGGCAAACTTGCACAAGACATTACACTTTGGTCCAATTGTCCACCGCGGAAACAGTGATGGGGACAGCAGTAATAGGGTCAGATGTCACTTCTGTGTCCTCACGCACACCTCCTGTTTGACTATTGCTTGTTAATCTCCCATGTGTGGAATACACATAGGGGCCATCACTCGAAGAAGAAATGGAGGTTACTTACTGTAACTGGAGGTTCTTCGAGATGTGTGGTCCCTATCTGTATTCCACTGTCCATTCTCTGCTGCCGATTGTTTGGACTGTAGTAAGAATGGGAAACTGGAGAGGCATCAGCCCACACCACGCTTTATGCCCTCTGTTTGGAGCATGAGGAAAGCTACGGCACAAGTGCAGGCCAATGGACAATGCTTGTTTAAAAAAAAACAAAAAAACCCACCGGTGCACATGCATACCCATGTGTGGAATACAGATACGGACCACACATCTTGAAGAACCTCCAGTTACTGGTAAATAACTTCAATTTCTAATCAACTGCCTCTTTCTGTGCCATTCCAATTCATAGAGCTACCAGCTATTCAGGTGCAGCCAGGAACACTAGATGTTATCCTGAACAACCCCATTCTTTTACCGTGTGAAGCAACAGGTACACCTCGTCCCATAATAACGTGGCAGAAGGAGGGCATCAATGTAAACACAACAGGTATCTTAGCTTTATGATGCTAATAATTCTGCTGTAGCATTTAAACTCATGTTCTCATTCTTTAAAGATTTTGGTCTAATTACCTTATTTATAAAAATGTTTTTTCTACCTTTCTTATGCATGTTTTAGGCAATAGTTATACAGTTCTCCCCAGTGGTAGTTTACAGATCGCAAGAACAGCTGTTGAGGATGCTGGCACTTACATGTGTGTGGCTCAGAATCCAGCTGGTACTGCCCTAGGGAAGATTAAGCTAAAAGTTCAAGGTAAGTCATCACCATAACTCCAGTTTTATACACAAGAAAGCTGTGCATATTCACAGTTAGTGAGATCCCTGTTCTGAGCAATGAATATGGACCAAAGATTGTAAAATTAGTTCCTGCAAATAAATAATAGAACTAGTCAATTCCCTGCAGCGGCCAGCAAACATTTCTTCTCTACCTTCAGAGACAGCGGTACACTTCAAAAAGAAAAACAAGATTGTTTTTTATCTCACATGGAAAGCAATGGAAACCAAAAATATAGCTGGGATATGAATTGTCATTACTGTGTGACCGTGCAGTGCAATAATAGGGCTTTAACAGATTGTCTCTCATGTGCTTCACGATGGGTTCACACTTCCATGACAAACCCACTTGAGCTGCTACCAACAAAGAATACTTTTGTAAGGTGTGCTGGTAATGGTCCACAATTCGCCATTAAGTACAGCCCCTATTAATTTCATGACCTTCACCATTACAGGTATTGCTAAGAGGTATCAGACGTGATGTCAGTTTGCCATACAATTGTACTTGTAGTGTTTAATACATGAAAAATGCCTGTGTGCGATTGTGCATTGCATGATCTTTGCACTCAGATGAGCACCAGATCTGGGGTTGTTCTTGGCCCCTGCCCAGAAGGACGTAGCTCTGCACCTTCCTTCACACCAGGGCAGGGCATGTAGTGTGCTACCAATAGAATGTCATCTATTTGCTTTACTTTGCACTTGGATTTGGATGCTGTTTTGTAACTGTAACTGATAGGCGAAATTATTTAGCAAGAAGAGTAAACTGTGTTTTTTAAATTATTCTGGATAGGAAATAAAGCATGTGTGGGTATCTGTGTATGTCTGTTTAAATTTATACATTTCCGAACAATGTGTTTTAATTCGTCATTCTCTTTCAGTTCCTCCAGTTATCAAACCCCATTCTAAGAAATACATAGTTGCTGTGGATAAATCTGCCACTCTGCAGTGTGAAGTGGAAGGCTACCCAGTGCCTGAGATCACATGGCACAAAGAAGGACGGCAGGTTACAGAGTCCTTCAGGCAGCGAATTCTCAGCACTGGGGCTTTGCAGATTGCATTTGTACAGCCTGGTGACACTGGACATTACACATGCATGGCTGCAAACGTGGCAGGATCAAGCAGTTCTAGCATGGAACTCGTTGTGCACAGTAAGTACGACTAGAAAGGAATAACATAGGCTGGCCAATTATCATGACAGAAGTCTCTTGCACTGATGTGTTAGAGGCCAAAGTTGTAGTGAGAGACTTCAGGATAGTTACACCAGCTAGCATAAAACTCAGGCTTTATGACATAAGCAAACCACTAACTGGCTGGCTTTAGGAAGAACCAGCCCCTGTGGGTATGTCTCTACATAATTTTCTGTTATGTAGGTTCCACGCCTTTCTCTGGAGCTTTGGATACTGATCACTGTTGGAGACATGATTAGATGACCCACTGGTCTGGTCTGATGTGTCATATCTGATGTTCCTACACCAGTATCTGGCTGAATGGAAGGCTGAAAACTATAGACAGTAATTAATCTCTTTTTAAATCTCCCCATAGTTCCACCTAAAATCCGTAGTTCAGAGGTGCAGCACACAGTCATTGAGAATTCCCAGGCTGTTCTGTCATGTGTGGCTGATGGTATCCCAACACCAACAATAAACTGGAAGAAAGACAATATACCTTTACCAGACACAGTAGGAAAATACAGGCCTATGCAGTATGGAGATCTCGTTTTGGAGAATGCTGTTGTAAGTGTTATGAATTTGAATGTCCTCATTATATATTGTGTATTCTTTCATGTGAAAATTGAGCAGCATGAAAGGTTTTATTTGTCTGGAATGAAGGAACAGAAAGATTGTGTGGAGTCTATAACTCTTATGTCAAAAGAAAGTCCCTGCAGGTCAGGGTTGAGGCACAGTGTAGGCTTACTTGTGGAAAACATGCTCTGAAACTACCCAATTGCTACCTATTCTGTGGATAAACAGAGGACCACTGGTTCCAAGAGTGCTGATCATGGGAGATAAATTCACAACATTTTTAGAACATAACTGCATAGAATACACATTGTAAAAACAGTCCAGTGCTCTCTTAAATAAGTGTACTGAAGGATTTTGTGGATCATAGTTGTTGTTGTTTTTATTTATAAGGTCAGCACCCTCCTTTCTAGTGTTTTGCATGTTATTTTTACAGCCTAAGAAATGTACAGCACGATGAAATGTCAGCCCTTTGTAAAGCCTCTAATGAGCAGATGAGTGTTGAATGCCTCCAGTGAGGTGCTGTATGCCTTCAGCTTTCCCTAGAGTCAATGGAAGGTATGGGCAAGCAGCATGTCACAAGAAGTGCCCAGTACCATTCAGATCTGGCCCTAAAATGTATTAAATAGTGGAAATATTTCTGCAAAGCTTGCAATGGAAAGCTCTTGGATGTGGCCGTTTGGGCATTTTCACCAAGGAGCCTGCATGTCAGCTAACATCTGGAAATTCCAGATCAGTATATTCACATCTCCTTTCTTGCCCAACATTTTTTTCTTCTCTTCCATATCATATACCTTTGTCTTAGAAGGAGTCACACTAGTTCCAATCATACTGTCCTTATTAAGGGAAAATGTCTGTTGATGGCAGGGGAGCTTTGCCAGCATAAGGATTGTGGGGTCCAGTTTAATGTTATGAAGTGCTACATTTAAGGCTGGTTTTGTCTACTCTACTTGCCATTACTGAAATTTTTACTAAGCTCAACAGCTAGTCGCATTTACCTTTTCCCTCTTAGCTCTTTGGATTCTCTTCTGTGTAGTGTGAACTCTTTATTGTACCTTCAGTTGGAAGGACAGTAAGATGGACAGCTCCATTATTTTGATACCAAGCTGTTCTGTGCATGGCTTCCAGCCAGTTTTAAGGTTAGAATAGGAAGTCAGCCTATTTCACTTACTTGTCCTTGCCATAGCTGCGATGTATTAGTCTCAGGTAATCTGCTGGGTTTGCTACACTCAGGTTTCTGTGTCATTCAATCATCAAGTTAGGCTGACGAGACTGACTCATCATAGCTTCCAATATATTACTAGCGAGTTGCCAAAATTTAAAATTCAGTCAGATGAACATTCCAACTGAACTGAAGTTCCAAATTTTTTGAGATTCCCCCTATCATTACTATTGATGATGTTCGAGCTCCAATGCCTCCCCCTATTTTTCCCCCCTTCTTTCAGCCTGAAGATTCTGGTAGTTATACCTGTGTTGCCAGCAATGCTGTTGGTGAAGATATACACACTGTCAGCCTAATGGTCCATGTGCTCCCAGCTTTCACTGAACTGCCTGGAGACATAGCTTTGAATAAAGGAGAACAACTCAGATTAACTTGTAAAGCAACTGGGACTCCGATACCCAAAATAACTTGGACTTTTAACAACAATATTGTCCCTGGTGAGTGATATCAGTACTTAACTGTCAGTCTGACACAGATTCTTTCCCCCTCCAGAAGTGGTGTTAGTGTGCAGTGGTGTCAGTTTGAGATTACAGTATAAAGTTCATAAGGGGAAAAACATAGTATGGCCTGCGTAACAAACTGTCTAGACCAGTGTTTCCCAAACTTGGGACGCCGCTTGTGTAGGGAAAGCCCCTGGCGGGCTGGGCCGGTTTGTTTACCTGCTGCGTCTGCAGGTCCAGCCGATCGCGGCTCCCAGTGGCCGCGATTCACCTCGGCCCGCGCCGCTTCCAGCAGCTCCCATTGGCCTGGAGCAGCGAACTGCGGCCAGTGGGAGCCGTGATCGGCTGGACCTGCGGATGCGGTAGGTAAACAAACTGGCCCGGCCCGCCAGTGGCTTTCCCTACACAAGCGGCATCCCAAGTTTGGGAAACACTGGTCTAGACAGTGGTAATATCTGGAACTTGTTAGCATAGAATACCAGAACTACAATTAACATTAAATTGCCTCTGTTCCTGGACTCTGGAGAAGGGCTTTAGGAACCCTGTCCCCTTGTTGTGTCAAGCTGCATGTCCCATATTAAAATGTACACATTGGGTATAATAAATATTCCAGCATCTAAGCACAAAAGATGACTTCCACAAGCACCTGTATGAATAAAACTTCACTGTTGGTGGAATGCAAAACATGAACGGACTGAAAGGAGAAGCAGGGCAAATTCATTCACAATAGAGTGACCAGTCAAGGAACACTGTTTGACTGACTTGTTCAGCCCTCTAAAACATACACGCAGACAGGGAAAGGCATAATAGGGTCTGTAATCAAAGGTGTCTCAGAAATTAGTCCAACGCAATGGTAAGTTCTTTTATAGAAGCATACCATTGAGCCATGCTGCTAAGCAGCCCTGTACATCTAAACCTATTCCTGTAAAATATGTATCACTTGTTGATATTTTCCAGAGCTACTTCAGTGTGTTTAAAAGACATCTTTTCTCTCCACAGCAAAACTTGACAATGCTAATGGACACAGTGAACTAGTTATTGAAAGAGTATCTAAAGACGACTCTGGTACCTATGTGTGTACAGCAGAAAACACAGTTGGCTCTATAAAGGCTATTGGATTTGTGTATGTCAAAGGTATGTGTAAATAACTGCAATATCAGGCACAATCAGTGACAATTTCACACAGCCTCATTTTTAGTTGTATCCAATAGCACTGCCATGGTTGATTAGAAAAGGGGTAACAAGTTGAACTTCAGATCTTATGAAAACAAAGAATGGCGGATTCCTATCAGAAGTTTCATTTAGAATCTCTTGCTTTCGCTTTGCTTTTTATCATTTTCAGAGCCTCCGGTCTTCCAAGGGGATTATTATTCTAGCTGGATTGAGCCCTTGGGTGGTAATGCTATATTGAACTGTGAGGTCAGAGGAGATCCACCTCCAACAATCCAATGGAGCAAAAAAGGAGTTAGCATTCAGATTAGCAACAGGATCCGACAACTCAGCAATGGTTCTCTTGCCATCTATGGCACTGTTGTGAGTCACTAGTCATTTAAAATGTGTTTGTGTGCTACATTTAATTATTGTAAGTAAATAAATTTATCCAAGAGGGTATGTATTTTAACTGAATATAAATTTGCCTTTATTAAAAAAATATTCGGTAGTTACTCTACATTTTAAAAAGATGTAATTTTTTAATGCAGTCTAAAATATCCTGCTCAAATTACTGTGACCTCACTAACAAAGCAAGGGAATGTTGTATCTGTTCTGTCTATCCCCTATAAACTTGCAGAGCTGCATTTTCAATAGGACTTAACAAAGCCTCAAAACTTGGGCATACAAAATCTGATAATGAAATCCTGGCTCTGTTGAAGTAAGTGGGAGTTTTGACATTGGCTATAATGGTACCAGAATTTTCCCCTCTCTTCCCCCCCCCCCCATTTTAATTACTTGTGCACCTAAATCCTAAATTCAAAAGTTCAACCTGGTTAGCTCCCCAACTCCTAATATGCATGTTCAAATTGCATGTTCATGATTTGCACATTCAAGTTTAGAAGCTGCAGTTGAAAACGTGGCCCTTATAAAAGGTTTTAGAAAAAGCTTCTAGATTTACAAATGTAAATAGTTGAAGAAAAAAAACCAGACATTAGCTTAGTATTAATAAAAGTAAAATGTTCAAATTGCTATTAAAACTTTTGGTTACTGGGTAGTAACAATAGTAGTCTATAGTTCTCTTTGTATTGCTACATTTATAATCTACTTTATATACTTACACATCCAGCACCATACTATATAGGAATCTACAATATTAACAAGCAGATGGTTTTGACTTAGATGACTTGAAACCTACCATATACGTTTCAGAAAAAGACTAAGTCTCTCAAAAGGACATAAGAAACATTGGAAAGAATTCCATGTAGATACTACTTGGATGCAGTTCTCTTGTTTTTCTCTCTAGCCTCACCTGCTTGTAACAAATTCCCATCCCAATTAACCTTTTAATTCAAGTCACTTTGGGTGTAGTTTAAAAAACTGGCAGCTTGTATGATAAACTTTTCTGGTAGTTGTTAATTAATGATTTCCCTCTACTTCTTTAAGGTCTGTTGCATGCCATACTGTACTGTAGCAAACTCGCTGACAGGAAATGCATTGTGAAAAGATTAACTTACTCCAGTAGGTTGATAGTTTATATGATTACTTGTTTATTGTCCTTTAGAATGAAGATGCTGGTGACTACACATGTATAGCTACAAATGATGCCGGCGTGGTTGAGCGCAGTGTGACACTAACGCTTCAGAGTAAGACTCAAATCAGATATCTAGTGCTATAAGAGTGGGGCCAGAAGATGACTTTGGATACATGTGTGCAAGTCCCTTTGTAGTTTTGGGAGGAGACAGTCAAAATTCACCAATGGGAATTGGGCACCTCACTGCTTTTTCTATCTTTGGCATATTCTTGAGGGCAGAACTGGGCTTTAAATTAATTCTTACACAAATGATGGAATTTTAGAATAATTTTTTTTACTGACAGAATTTTCAAACATCTCTTCTCTATTTATAACTCAGAGAAGAATCAGACCTTTTACCTCTGTTTTTGTTTCCTTGTGTATAGAATGGGAATAATATCTACCACATTTAGGTATTGTGAGAATTAATTGAAAAGTGTTTTTGCACTACTGATGGTACTAGTTGTTTGTAGAATTGGGCCTCAATCCTGTTTGGGGCCTGTGTGTGCTACCACAATACAAACCACAATACCACTGTCATTGTTTGTGTATTCTAGGTCATATTTAATTTCCACCATTGACCTTGTATTTCTCAAGGATCTCTGGAGATGTATAATAGTAGTTAATGCCAAAATTAATGAAGTAGGATTTCATGCTTTTTCTCAGACCAAATCTCTGTCCAATGAAAAAAATGTCATCTGCTCTTGCAGCCATTTATTGCAAAATGCAGTGATGCTAAAACAGTCTCTCCTCTCTCTCAGGTCCTCCAGTTATTACAGTTGAACCAGTAGAGATGGTGGTTGATGCTGGTATCACAGCAATCCTGAACTGCCAAGCAAATGGAGAACCTACTCCAACCATTGAGTGGTCCCGCCAAGGCCATCCTATCCTCAGCAGTGACAGAGTGACTGTCTTGTCTAATGGCTCCTTGCGTATTGTTGCAGCACAGAAAGAGGATACCTCTGAATATGAATGTGTGGCTAGAAATCTGATGGGATCAATCCTTGTCCGAGTGCCATTTACTGTCCAAGGTAGATACACCAAAGTGCTGTCTAATGATTACCAAATTGCGAGATTCCAGCTTTAAAACAGAATAACTATGATCAAGGTTTTATATTCCTTACATTTACACGTTAAGTCTAGTAGGACATGTCAGTGTTCCTCTTCTTCACAAAATTTTGTACTTTTGTTCCACTTTCTCAACTGTCATCATCCTCAGCATGCTCCCAAGACAGGCAGCTGAGAGTGAAGGAATATGTAAAAGCATGTCTACACTGCCCCACAGTTTGGACTCTGGAGGTGTGAAAAGCAGTGTGAACCAAAGTGCTGTGCTGTAACTGCCCCATGTGGACACTGTGGGTGCAAATGAAAAGATTCCTACTTCATATTAATGTCGTCTTATTTGAAGAGTTAATGCGAACTCTTTAGTTTGCACCTGCAGCGTTTGCACGGGGAATTACACCACAGCCCTTTGGTGCACAATGCTCTTCAGACCCCTGTAGTGTGAACTGAAGGGCAGTTTAGATATGCCCAAAGACTCTATGATAGAGATGATCCTGAACTGAGATGCTGCCTACAGAGCACATTCCACAACTTGAGTTCATCTTTAATGTAGGAGAATAAGTGATAACCATGCCAGAATAACTGAAGTATTTTCTCAACTAAAGCATGAAGAATTCTTCACTAACGATAATGTGATGCTATCTGGATATCTGAGGGTAGCCTCTGAACTTGTGCAGGGTTATTTTGATCTTTTTTTCTAGAAATGCAAAAATTTAGCAGATCTTTTAACACAGCTGAGAAAGTATATTCCTGAGCCTGGTTGTATAACACACATATTATAAATGCTCAAATATAATTTTTCTACTGCAGTGCATGGCGGATTTTCAGAATGGTTTGAATGGCGACCATGTAGTGTAACTTGTGGTCAAGGTGTTCAGAAGAGGATCCGTCAGTGTAACAACCCTCTCCCTGCAAATGGTGGGAGGCATTGTCAGGGGCGTGATACAGACATACGCAGCTGCCAGAACAAACCATGTCCAGGTAGATTTCTTTAATGAACTCATATAGTGTATGTTTAACAGATCTCCATGACATCACCATTTCATTGTTTCTGCTATCTGGAATTCTTTGACTTATCGGGGAGAGGATCTTTTCTATAATATATTTGGTAAAATGGTGCTTTTTTTATGTTATGTAGTGGATGGTACCTGGTCAGAGTGGGGGTCTTGGGAAGAGTGTTCAAGAACCTGTGGACAAGGTAACAAGACTAGAACCAGAACTTGTAGTAACCCAACAACTCAACATGGCGGAAGACCATGTGATGGCAATGCTGTGGAATCGATCATGTGTAACATCAGGCCTTGTCCAGGTGAGAAGAGTGTGTTCATTATAAGTTGCAGATACTGATCTTTAAAACTTTTCAGTGTATACTCTTCTTCTCTAAAGCCCACATACTTAACCTCTTTCACTTTGAAATCATTTATGGTGGGGGGAAAAAATGACATTCTATTTGATCTATTTAAAAATTGCCTGCAGTAATTGAAAGGTTTTCAATTTACTGAAATTTAAGTCCAAAATTTAGGTTTTTAAAATATGGAGGTGAGGGTGGTTTATAAAACTGAACATGAAAAATATTTTTATAGGGTTTTTTATATTGATTTTAACATTCCTTGAAGTGTTTGCAACCTAAACACGTCAGCTTTGTATCCTAGTGCAATAAAACTGACCACTCTAGTCCCATTGTCCAAAGTGGAAAAAAGATTACTAAGCAGCATAAAAGGTGCAGAGTAAAATACATTCTTTTGGGTTTAGTAATTTAAGGTATTATCAGTGTCACAGATAATGTATGTATTTTCTTTGACAATGTCCTTTTAACTTTTAATTATTATTTTCTCTGCTTAGTACATTTGGACTGGATAGGTCTATTCATTATTGCCATTTTTCCTACTATTCTCTCCCTCCGCGGACTTCTCTGATACTGTGATGCTGCACTTTGATCCACTGAGACAGTTTCCTGTAGTGCCCTACAAAACCAGTTCTCAGAGTAGCAGCCGTGTTAGTCTGTATCCGCAAAAAGAACAGGAGTACTTGTGGCACCTTAGAGACTAACAAATTTATTTGAGCATAAGCTTTCTTGGGCTACAGCCCACTTCTTCAGATGCATAGAATGGAACATATATTGAGGAGATATTTATACACACATACAGAGAGCATGAAAAGGTGGGAGTTGTCTTACCAACTCTAAAAGGCCAATTAAGTAAGAGAAAAAAAACTTTTGAAGTGATAATCAAGATAGCCCAGTACAGACAGTTTGATAAGAAGTGTGAGAATACTTACAAGGGGAGATAGATTCAATGTTTGTAATGGCTCAGCCATTCCCAGTCCCTATTCAAGCCTAAGTTGATTGTATCTAGTTTGCATATCAATTCCAGCTCAGCAGTTTCTCGTTGGAGTCTGTTTTTGAAGCTTTTCTGTTGCAAAATTGCCACCC